GGCCCCCCCCCCCCCCCCCCAGGTCATATCCCTGCCTCCAATCCTGTTTTTCCCTCTGGAAAACGAGCAGCTTAGAATACACGCTGTTTAAGGCCACTTCCTGCTCTGATCAGAGTCCCCCCAACTCGGTGGAGAGACTCGAGTTGTGGCAAGTACGCTTGATGGAGCACACAAGCTCTCTCTCACTCAGTCCTTAGGGGGGAAGAGATTGTTTTAAAGATGAGGAAGGGGGATAAGGATAAGGAGTCCCGACTTCCTTCAAACCACCCAGCCAATAAGCGGGAAAGGCAACAGCTGAACCCTCACTACATCTCCTGGAGCCACTGGCAGCGTGACCATGGACAAGAACGTTTCTCCTTCTGACGCTCACTTCCACATCTTTAAGATGAGCTGGGCACTTTCCCAATCTGTAAAGCTCCTTTCAGCCTGGACAGAGGAATGAATCCGGGGAGGGAGAAGGGCCAGGCAAGGCGCTCCCAGCCCTTCCTCCCGAGGTGGGGGAAGCCCCAGGATTGGGACTCAGAGAGGAGTCAGCGCCCGGGCCTCGGGACCCAGCTCGGACGCCAGCCCTGGGCTTCCCCGCACGCTCCAGCCGGTCCGAGGAGGAAACTGCGGGTCCCCGGGGCCCCTGGACGCCCGCCTTGAATAACGTCCGGACTGTGCGGCCCGGAAGCCCGTCATGCACCAGAGAGTCGGATCCAGCTGGGGTGGGGGCGCCTCCCTCCCCCTCGGCTGCGCTTCAGCAACGCCTTTGTCTCCCCCGGGGCCAGGCCAGGGAGAGCACGGGCGGATCTGGTTTCAGCCGCCTCGACCTTCCCAGGGGTCCCCGGGTCCGGGGCCGCCCCTCTTTCCGGAACCGGGCGCCCCCGCCTCCTCCCAGCCCCTGCGGCCCCGCTCCGTCCCCGCGCGGGTCGCCGCGGGGTTACCATTGGGCGCCGAGCAGACGCTGGAGCAGGCGGCCCGGCAGCACTTGAGGTTGCCCGCGCACTCGCTGTCCGAGGCGCACTCCTGCGTGCACTTCACGGTCTCCTGCAGCTGGGGGCACACGCCGGCTTTCTCTGCTCCTGTGCTTAGGAGGAGAGGCAGGGGGACGGTCAGTGGGGGTGGGGGGTGACGGAGCCCCAGTCGCAGAGGATGCCCGCCTCCTGCTCCCCAAATCTCAACTCCAAGGAATTCTCCCAGGGATTCCCAGAAGGCCCCATCTGCAGACCCGGAGTCTCTGGGGATACAGGAGTTCCCTAACCCTTGACCTCAGAACCCTCAAATCTCAGTCTTTAGGGAACCCCGCACAACTGAGCATTTAGAAACTTGTGATGTCGCCGCAGAGGCCGTCCCCCTTCAGCCTGAGTCTCCGTCTTCAGCCCAGAGCCCCACCGCCACCACATTTCAGTCTTCAGCGGTCTCCCCACCTCCAGCACACTGCACCCCACACCCTAAGCATCAAGGCTCAACACCTTTGGGCCCGGGTCCCCAAAGTTGAGCCTTCATGGGTCTCCCCGCTTCCGCCCCGGGAACCCTCCCTTCCCCAGCGCCGAGCGAGGCTCTGTCCCGGCGCTCTCTCGAGGCTCGGCCCCTCTGGGCGCCCGGCCTCCCCCCGCCTCACTCGCCTGTGACTGGGCGCAGGCCCAGCAGCAGCAGGCCAAGGAGGGCGGCGGCCAGCGGGCCGAGGCGGCAGACGGGCATGGTGCTGCGCTGGGGCGGGGTG